CATTGAAGAAATACAGAGACTCAAAGTGTTATTGGCCAAGGAATTTGAGACTAAAGACCTTGGGACACTCAAGTACTTTCTTGGGATGGAAGTAGCCCGGTTAAAAAGAGCAATTTCTGTATCACAACGAAAGTACATCTTAGATCTTCTTAAAGAGACAGAAATGCTTGGGAGCAAGCCTGCAGACACACCTATGGACCCAACCATTAAACTCGGGTTCAAAATCAGTGATAAAACTGTTGATAAGGAAAGATATCAAAGACTTGTTGAAAAACTCATCTATTTGGCACATACAAGACCTGACATTAGTTTTGTAGTTAGTGTGGTAAGTCAATTCATGAATCAACCAACTGAGGAATACATGAAGGGAGTATATCGCATTTTGAGATACCTAAAAATGATTCCAGGTCAATGACTGTTTTTTTCAAAAAATGATGAAAAGAGATGTCGAGATCTTTACTGATACCGATTGGGCAAGGTCGATAACTGACAGAAGATCTATATCAGGCTATTGTACTTATGTCTGGGGGAATTTGATTACGTGGCGCGGTAAGAAACAGTCTGTAGTATCACGAAGCAATGCAAAATCTGAGTTTTGGGCACTTGCTCACGGGATATGTGAAGGAATATGGTTGAGGAAGATATTAGTCGAATTAAAATTCTTTGATAATACTCCAATGAAAGTATAGTGTGATAACCAATCAACCATCTGTATGACTAAAAATCCTGTGCATCATGACCGCACCAAATATATGGAGATTGATCGTCATTTCATTAAGGAAAAGTTAGAAAATGAGATTATAATACTTATATACATTCCGACCGATCAACAGATTGCAGATGTCCTAACGAAAGGTCTACCAAAAGGGTTCTTTGATAACATCATATCCAATCTAGGTTTACTCAACATATATGTAAATTAGATTGAGGGACAGTGCAGAAAATGAGGGAATAGTTTCTGTTTTTTTATTTTGTCCTTATGTTAATGGGCAGAATAACAGAATTGGTGAGGTGTACCCTGCCACCAATTCTGTTATTTCTTTTGCTGTAACCAATTCTGTTATACCTTTTTTGTTAGAAATTGGTTGTAAAACCTGTATAAATCAGCCTCCTTGGTGCTGGAAATAAATTAGTAAAAAGGAAGAATTTCTTAGCCTCAACAAGCTTCATTCTCTTCACCTTTATTCTAGTTTTTCTTGAAGTTTGTGGTGTAACATCTGGTTTCATTGATCTCATTTCTTTCAGGAGAAAATAGAAGGAAGATAATGCTAACTGGAGGTGAACAATTATTAAATAATCTAGGCTGTCAAACAGTTAAGATATTTTGTCCTTAAGATATCTCATTTAAGGGTAATTTTGGGAAATAAATGAATTCACATTTTATTTCTGGGGAGTGGATTAGAATTTTGATTCATGAATGAGTGGAAATCATTTTGAATGAAATAATTTTATTTGCCAAACTATTTGTCTGCTCCTTAAATGTTTGTACTTTTTTCTTACAACTTTTAATGCTATTAGGAGGGGACAAGAGAAATGAGGCGCGCTGGTCTTCCTCCCCTGGATCCTTCCCTAGGAGATTTCGATATACATACCTTGCAGGTAAGATGCCTGTCAGTTTATCCGTATGTGCTGTATTATGATGTCAAGCTCCTTTACTTGGCATGGTTGAGGAGGTTTTCATTGTTTGGCTTAGTAAATGCACTATTTTGGCTTTCATATCTATTAAAAAAAATCATTTTCCTATTCAAACTGCTAAACCATCTCTTTCATTGTCATCTGAATTTCTTAATATGCTAGATTTATGCCTTTTGGAGATTTATACTAATATGGTTATTTTTTATATGTCCAACTGATTCTAAATAGTGCTATATATTGTCCATAATGATCTTACTCATTCAGTCTTCTGACACATATAATAGTTCATTAAGAACGAAGATCTTGAAGAGCTGAGGGGGCTTGGTTCTGGTACATTTGGGACTGTATATCATGGAAAATGGAGAGGAACTGATGTTGCCATCAAGAGAATAAAGAAGAGTTGCTTCACTGGGCGATCATCAGAGCAAGAGAGACTAGTAATTGTTTCTTTCTGTGTTGTACTCAGTTGCTTTAGCTCTGTGATGCCTTAGCTCACGTATAATATGGTCCCAATTGAAAAGAAATTGAAAGAAACGTCATTACTCTGTTTTTGCTTAATTTACAATTATATTAAGTTTCCCTTTATGTTAAGTGGGCATTTGCTGCAAAGAATTTTTCTTTGCTTGATGCCATATTGAATAGTTTTTATTGGATTATATCTCCTCAGACGGTAGAGTTCTGGCGAGAGGCTGACATTCTCTCAAAGTTACATCATCCAAATGTTGTGGCATTTTATGGTGTAGTTCAAGATGGACCTGGTGGTACGCTAGCTACTGTGACAGAGTACATGGTTGACGGATCCCTTAGACATGTTTTACTTCAGAAAGATAGGTAAGTCATCACCTCCAAGTGTTCTTTAATATTAGTTTCCTTGTCTTTCTGGCACAATAATAATTCAGCTCTTTTTAGAAAATGTTATCAGTACTGGACTCTTGTAATTTGTTATCATCTTAGAGCAACACGTAGTGGAGTAGAATTGTGATTTTCTTTTATTTTGCTGGTATTGAGTTTCTAGTTCTGTATCTTTATTGTTGCGTTTGTTCTTCTTCTTCTTGTTGCAAATTGGTATTCTTATGTTATTGTTACCACATTTTTCCATATTTGTCTTGCTATTTATTGTTACTTTTATTATTGATATTTCTGTTGTCATTATTGCTTTTATGGGAGCCCTTTGTCTTCATGTGCTCCTTTCTTTCATATTCATCAGAAGTCAATTTCAGGTACCTTGATCGCCGGAAGAGGCTAATAATTGCTATGGATGCCGCGTTTGGAATGGAATATTTGCATTCAAAGAATATTGTGCATTTTGATTTGAAATGTGACAACTTGCTAGTGAACTTGAAAGATCCATCTAGACCAATTTGCAAGGTAACAGGCTTTTTATCTACTTTGGATCAAATGGTAGTCCATCTAAACATTTCTGATATGAAGGTTAGTCATTCACTAGGTTGGTGATTTTGGGTTGTCAAAGATCAAGAGAAATACCTTGGTATCTGGTGGTGTACGGGGAACTCTACCGTGGATGGCTCCGGAGTTGCTAAATGGTGGCAGCAACAAAGTCTCAGAAAAGGTAAGATGACCTGTGTACATTAGCAGTCAGGCTTGATGGTTATTACTGTTGCATATAACTCTAGAAAGGTTGCACCAAGTTTGGCAGTTACCTAGAAAATTTCTTTTGGAGGAATATCATTTGATCATATTCTTTTATATTCTTTTATATTCGAGAATTAAACTGCACTGAAACAATTTTTTGCTGAATGTTTCTTTTGGTTTGAAAAGAATTTCCAATGAAAAAGCAAGAATTCAAACATGGTTTTCTGTATAATATTGTTTCTCTTTTAGTCTCTTCTTTCCTGTCTCTTAAGCTTTAAATAATCTGGAAATATCAGCTACAGTTCTTCATTGATGCACAGGTTGATGTGTTCTCCTTTGGAATTGTCTTATGGGAGATTCTCACTGGGGACGAGCCATATGCCAATATGCACTATGGTGCGATAATCGGTGGGTTTAAATACATGCTAACTCCAAATCTTGCTGGACTTTTTTTGTTGACTTAGTTACTAGGTATTTAAAGGGTTATTAATGATTTAACCAACATCATGTGAAGAACAACTGTAAGGAGCATCTAAATTCAAAATTTAGTGTTGAACTATGGCGTAAGTCAATTAATAGATCCATCCAGCCTGGTTAATTGCCAGACTTTTGACCTTTTTGCTTCTCTGGAGAATAACTAGTGGAGTTAGATTCCATAACTTTTCACTCTTTCGGAACTGAACAAACAAACTAATCAACTCGGGGACATTTTTTGGCTTGAAAAAACAGTAAAAGAGACGTGGAAACTGACTTCTCGAATCTGGGTGTAACTTTTTACTAGTTGTTTCAGCTCGTCTGTTGTTGGTTTGTGAAAAAGAAAAAAGAAACTTCATAATTTGAGTTGGTAACCTGCCATGAACTCTTCTTTGCTATGCATCTCTACTGTTGAGAACAGCTCTTTATCTCTCTTTTTTCACATATTTCCGAGCACCTCAATCTTGTAAAAGTTCTTCTAGCAGAGACTCTACTTTCCTATTGTCTCTTGATTTTCCCCAGTCTGGCTTCAGATCTTTTTTACCCCAAGAACAGAGCAGGAAATTTATTCAAGAAAAGTTAAGAGTCCATTAGTTAATTTTCTGGTAATCTCCTCTGTTCCCAGCCTGCCTATAGAGTAGCTTGGCCATTTCTGGGTGGATATTCATTGCTGGTGGATAAGGCTGGATAGGATTTGAACTAGGGAATTCTATAGTTCTAAAGAATAAAAATCAAGGGTTAATGATAGTAAATGCTTATGAAAATTTCAAGAAGAAACTTCTGAAGGAATATTTTAGGACATTAAATCAAGAATTTCTCTTGGCATAATGCCCAATATCACATGGTATCACACCAAGAGACTAGGCTAGAACTGGGTCCCACATTCCTTAAGACCATAGTCACTGAAAACAAAATCAAGGGCAAACAACTAAGGGAAAGAGTAGATACTAGTCTCGAATTTCCTAGGCATAATGCCGGGTCACATGGCATCACGCTAATAGGTCAAATCTTTTTGTCACCAAATATGTTGGAGATATCATACAACTATTATTGCATGGTGAGTTTATAGTATCTTCTTTATTTGTCTGGGGTTGCCAGAGTGGGCGGGTGATATCTATGGATACAGCCCAACTCTCTGAATTTCTGGTATGGAGCCAGACCTGTATAATGTTATAAGATGATATCTTAATTTTGTTTTCTGTTTATTTTTAATTTTTCATGTGTCCTGTATTTGTAGAGAATGTGGTTATCTTAAATATTTTAATTAAATCCAGGAGGAATTGTAAATAACACATTGAGGCCAACCATTCCAAGCTTCTGTGATCCTGAATGGAGAAGGTTAATGGAAGAGTGTTGGGCACCTAACCCGGCAGCCAGGCCATCTTTCACTGAAATAGCGGGTCGGTTACGAGTAATGTCGGCAGCTGCTAGCCAAACCAAGGGACATGGTTACAAGACATCTAAATAACGACGACAATGCAACATCCTGCATTTCGCTGTCGGTGGCCTGATTTGTTTGAGAAACTTGTCAAATGAATGGTAAATTCCTTATGGAGATGATATGGCTCAGTGTTGCTTCCAGAAGTGTCACTATTTCCGCATAACCTAAAAGGTCTGCACATCTTACTCAGTATCCTTTTTCTCCCTACTCTTCCACCAAGAGAAAAGATGCCGCCTCTCTTTAAATTTGGTGGGAATTTTGGAGATGGCATATATGTAATGTAGTAAATGCTTGAAACTGGAATAGGTTGTACATTTAGCAGTCATTTTCTCCTCTATATGGGGACTATTTAAAAATAATTTATTGTAAAGGATTATAAACTATGTGTATACAAAAAGTGTTTGTTTGAAGTAAAAGTTTGTTCTGTTTATGTATGTATATTTTTTTCTGATGTCTTAACAGACTTGCAGAAGAAAAATCTAAAAGCAGGAAGGAAATGTTTTCATGCTTGGAAAAGTTGCATATGCCAATACTGAGCACCGAATTTCCAGTTCCAGGAGGAAAAGGAAGGTTATTTGTGAATGATTTGCTTGTATTTGTCAATTGGGTTGGGTTAGCATAGTCAATACACAGGGCCTCTTTGTTTTCTGTTGGCTTTTGAATGGTGTGTTTATTCCTTAACGGGATCAGCTTACATGAAATGCTTGAAAAGGCAAATGGCTAATCCGCTTTCTCGGCTTCTATGATTTGTTGCCATGAAAGTTAGAATATGGAAGAAAACTTGGAAGCGAATTGGCAATGGAAAAAAGACAAAAAAATTTCTCCTTTAGATTCTTAGCAAGAAAGAAGATTCAAATTACTGTTGTTAGTATAATTGTTAAAGTTCATTATTAACCGAATAGATACAGAATTATTTTGTAATACCATTGCACGAATGACCTAATTTAATTCGAAAATAGATCTATATTTATCATATATTTATGATCCAAAACTTTTATTAAACTAGGATGATGAGTTGTTTGCTTGCCAAGCAGATGCCAACATTATCGGCCTACCTTTCCACCCAAGGAGAAGGCAACCCTTCTCACAACTCAAAGTGTATCCATCACATCCATAGACAGACAACATCATTCTCGCCTGGCTTAAACACTTCAATCCCATTACTTGATACCCAGCTCGGCCAAGCTGCCTCCTCCATTGATCTGCCCGTTCGTGCCTTTCCACCCTATCCAACCCTTCATAAGCCACAATGTTTCGAATCTCCTCTGCAAAGTGATACTTTTCTATTTTCATCCTTTGAGGACTGTTTCGCAGTAGACTAGCCTCCAACGAATCAAAGATGGCCGAATAATAGTGAAGAGATTCAAGAAATCTACCTAAGAAAAAAGGTCCATTATGGTTTGCATCTTGCTCTACCACAGTAAGCAATGTTGGACTTAGTTTCTTAATTGCTTGCAGAATTGCCTTGAGAGAGCCTCTACTCTCTTTCACATACTTATGCAAGTGCATAATGCTATTCACAAGTAATGCTTCTCCTTCTTCCAATCCGAGCTTTTCTCTAGTCATAAGTGTCGGTGTTGCTGGCTCTGATATCATGTAGATCTCGAGAGGAATTCCTAGAGAGTTAGCTTCCTCCACGAGCAATTTTGTGCTGCCTTCAAGCTCAATTCGATATTGATCATTAATTATTGCTGTGATCTTGAGTTTCTTTGGTGGCCCCTCCGGTCTTGAAGCCAGATTCCTTATGAGTGAAGGCCATTGAAGGGTATGTTCCATTCCTAGATCAATAATATGCAAAGAATATTTCCCTTGTGTTGCTTGACATATAGCTTCATTTGCAGCCATGAAACCAAAAGCAATGAAAGGAGTTGTCTGGTAAAGAAGATGAAAAGCTTCCATTTTCTCCTCCATTGTGACCCAACAAACATGGTTACCACCATTTGTGAAAGTACCATTTGCAGTAACAGTTTGAAGAAGTGAAAGCCTAGATTTCAGTCCCATGGCGAAGCAATACGAAACCCTCTGCAACGAATCTCCCATCAGAGTAGCTGAAGACCAAATTTGAGCAAGTATGGAGTCAGCAAGTTTTGTATCTCTACAACCAACAGCCTCTGCACAAGCCAACAATAAATGAACCAAGTAAAGCCCTTGATCTACTCCATGGCTCACACTAGAGCCATACAGATCTACTTCATGATCTCCTCCTGGCATCATCATCGGAAAATACCTATTATAATCACTCTCTCCACTCCAATTTTGCTGGTGAAGGTGATCATCATGATGATGATCAAGTAAATACTGGGTCTTGACCTGGAGGGACTTGTTACCATCATCATCATTTTGATGGTCATGATCATCATACTGGCCATCATGATGATCCATGTTAATGAAGCTATCAACAAATTCATTGACATCAGAAGCAGGCAAACCATGAGTTGTTACATTTTGATGTATATAATTGTGATCGTGATGATACTGATCATGAGGAAGAGAAAACACAGAATCATTTACGGTGTCTATACTCCATTGATCTGATACTCCTTGTTCTTGCTCCAGTCGAGCAGGGCAAAACCTTCGAATGGCAAGCTCATGGTTGAGAGTTTCATGCTTAGAGAATGAGTCCCAACTGTTCATGGCGTCTGATGTTTCTTTTGCAGGACTTTCAGGAGGAAGAAAAGAGATGAGCTCAGAGAGATAATAATTGACCCAATAGAATGCCTGGAGACTTTCCTTTCTTAATCGATTGAGTTTTAAGAATATTCTCTTTGTTTTGAGTTCAGAAACAACATATTAAAAAAGTATCCTTTATATATATCTACATATATATATATATAATCTTATTTTGTAATATGCTTATACTAGCAATATTGACAATTCTAAATTTAGAATATGTCACCTAGAAAGTAGATCAATGATTAGTTATTGATTAATTATAAATATTGTTTTTTATAAATTTGACATAAAATCAAAGAACCTTAATTAAATTAAATATTTTTATAATTCATTAATTAACAAATAAAAGTACAAATTTATATTTTTTAACTTTAAATTTATGAATAAAATTTATTTAATTACACATCAATATATATATTTTATATTTATCTAGAAAATCACATATGTATATATATGCATATTATATTATAATATCATATTTTCATAATAAGGATTAGGGAGAGAATCCAATGAAAATTAGTTGAGGGTAAATGGGAAGAGTTGTTTGCCGGCCTTTAAAAATGTGTAACTTTGGTGGGACGGTTTCCTCAACCTGAGTGGGTCCCACTCCTCTCCCAGGATTCCGTTCCGTTGGTTTCATCTGCTTGTCGGTCTCACCTCACACCGTTGGGCGGCCAACAACCAATAAGACATTCTTGGTGGCCTACGCCTTCATTTTCCATTCCTTCTAATTTCTTTTTAAAAAAAAAAATAGAAGAAATTTAATTTTAAATTAGTTTATTTTTTTTTTCAATTTTATATTTCTCTATTTTTTTTATCCAATATTTATAACTTACTACTTGTAATAATTATCTTTCTAATTTTAATTCATTTAATTTTAGATTTCTAGGTATGTATATTTCTATAAGTACATAAATTACAAATTTATTTATAAAGAATTCGTAATATTTTAGAAAATCACTAACAAATCTAAACGTATTAAAGAATTAGATATATTAGACACAACTAATTGGCATACAACTAAAATTATAAATGATAAACCTACTACACAAAGATAAGTTTCTCGCACCTTTTTAACCTACTTTATATACGGACTTTGAATCTTGATTAGACTAGAGTTTATTTTTATATATTTGAAGCCGCTTTAAATAGTATCAATAATGACTCTAATTCTATATTTTTTACAGTTTACTTCAATATTTTTATTAATTTTAAAATTATTTTATTAATGTTTCAGTTGTAACAATAAAAATTAAAAAGAATTATTAGAGATTCATAAATAAATTTCAAGAACACAATAATGAATATATGAGACATTAAAAGACTCGTGATAGAATTTAGATATATGTTAGATATTAAAAGTTAAAATCAAATTCAATCAAGTACGTTGTCAATGTTTCATGACTAAAAAAAGTAAAAGTAGTTCTAAAAATATAAAGTGATGAAAAGTTAAAACTTAAAATTGACGAAGCAGTATTGTAGCGCCCGGAAGGAGGAGGAAAAAAAAAAAAAAAAAAAAAAAAAAAAAAAAAAAAAAAAAAAAAAAAGGGGGGGCCACGTCAGCAGGCCCGGTCAGCAGTCCCGGCCAACCGGGGCCTGCCACGTGGCAAGATCGCGTCACTCCAAAAGGAGCCACGTTGGCGATCCGCGTGGGTGCGATCCGACGGCCCAGATCAATCGCGCGATCGGACGGCCCAGATTCAAACGCACGGACGGCCCAGATTCAATCAAAAACGAACGGCCCAGATTAAAATGAAATGAACAGCTGTGATCAAAAGGCAAGGGGTTATAAATAAAACCCCCACACCAAACCACAAACCCTAGCCGCCAGCCGCTCGCCGGAAAAAACGAACCAAAGGCCGACCGCCGCCACCCGCCGCCACTCGCCGCCGCACCGGGGAAATTTCCGACCGCCGATCGAGGTAAATTTCATACCCCCGACTCGTTTATCCCCACTGATTCCTCCTATGGCCAAATCGAAGCCGAAATCCCGGCCAAACGGCCGGAATACGCGGCCGAAGCCCAGCGGCGCCGTCGCGCCCCCTCTCGGTTTTTGCCTCCGACGAGGCCCTTCCCGGCCTCCGTTCGATGCAATTTTTATATCACCGTGATCACCATTCTTTTCTCTACAGGTTGACCGAAGCCAAATCACCAAAACACGAACCTCGCCGGAGGGTCGCCGTACCCGAGAGCGCCGCCGCCGGTAAGCTCCGCTTTTTCGTGATTTTTTGGCCCCCCGAGGGCCCTAGGGTTGTTTTCTGACAAGGACCGATGCGAGTGTGGCCGAATTCGGCCGAAAACGGCCGAAAACAGCCAACCCGAGGCGACTCGCCGCCGCCAGCGGCGGCGCCGTCGCCGGAGCACGGCGGAGCCGCCGTGCCGGAGTTGCGATTTGGGCCGAAAGAGGCCCTGGGCCTAATTTGGATTTTTTTTGGAACACGTGCAGGTACTGTTAGCGTGTTTCAGTTCCTCGGGAAAAATTCAGGGAAAATTAGGGACAGCCTGCAGGCGCACTGTGAATCGTATTCGGATCCCGAAAACAAGTAAGGACCCCTCACCCTATTTCCTATCACGGTATTAAAGTTCAAAATGATAAAACGGTATTTCTTGAATTAACGCATGTGTGAAATTGCTTAAGGTTGCTAATGGAGCCCGAGTCTAGTGTGATTGATGATTTACTGTTATTTGGCATGTTTTACACTGTTTTACAGCTTTAAATGCATTATGGGGTTTGATGTGTTCATTTTATAGTTTCGAATGCATATATTACTGTTTTATTAATTATGGGTTGAATGAATGAAGAACTGATACTGTATGTTGTCTGTTTGGCATGAATTACGATTTGCTTGTTTAAATGTGAATTGATGATGCTTATTGAGGAAAAGGAAAATGAAACATTGTGTAGACTAATAATTGTATGATGGGGTCAGCCTGACTAGATATCCTGGGAGATGGTGGACGGACCGGGTCCGTAGGGAACCCTACCGGGATTGTGGTCTCACATGCCGGACGGGGTATGGAGATCTTATGGTTTTGGCGCCCATACCGGACGGGGTATGGGGACGGCCCGTTTCACCCTCATACCGGACGGGGTATTGAGGTTTATGGTTTTGGCGCCCATACCGGACGGGGTATGGGGACGGCCCTGGAAACTGATTATGAATGTTAAAGGTTAACGGGTAGCGGGACCCCCATGGATACTAGTAGGCTGGTAAATGAGAAAAAGATATGTTGTATAATGATTGAATTACAAAAGGCGTGATAAGTGCTATGTTTTACAGCTTATATTATTCCATGATTGTGATAATGTTATTATTTTTCTTATATTGTTTTCATAAATTCCACCGAGGTAAGTGGATGGTAAAGGTTTTCATGTTAATAAACGAGTTTATTGTAAATTATGCTCCATTGGTCTTTTTGTGGTTTTCTACCCACCTTTATCTCCGTGACGGTGAGATATCGTGATGTTCTTACTGGGCTAGTGTAGCTCACTCCTTAATTAACCATTTCAGATCAGGAAGACATGGTTCCCGAGCCCGTTCCGCAGGAGGACGAAGAAGGGGATGCCTAGAGACTCTGTAGTCATACGCATAGTTTATTTTCGAGTTTTCTTTCTTAGTTAGTTTAACCTTTTATATTTTAAGTACGTTTTTTTTGGGTTTTTTCGTGTAAGGGATGTTAACTGAAATTTTGATCTCGCTTCCGCATTCGATATATTTAAATACTCATTTCTTTTTTAATATTTTCCGGGGCCGTTACAAGTATAGGATAAATCCTAACTATACTATACGATGAACAGAATGTTATTTATATGAGTGGTATTGTGACATTTGCTAAAATTATACTCTTGCATCTCAATGACTAAACATAATTTGACATAAAATAGAAAAGAGATACAATAAAAAAAAAAGTAAAATGATAGTTTAGATTAAACTTCCAAAAAAAATTTATTTTCAAAAAAAAAAATTAAAATAATAGAGAACCAAATTGAATAATCTTAAAACGAAAAATATTAGACAGACAGAAGATATTGTAAATGAATAAAAATAAAATAAATAGTTCTCTTGTTACAAACTTTATAAGTAAAGAATTCTCTCATTTAAGGGAGTAAAAAAAATTGAATTTTATTAGTACAAAGTTATAAAAATACTCATTTTTTATTTTGAAATAGCTAAACGACACTTATTTCAATTAGAATAATAGAATTAATTTATAATTTTAGACACTCCAAGTATAAGAGATGTTAAGAGACATATTATTTGAAAGTTATATCTATTCATTAAAAATAATAAAGAACTTAAATAAATTTTTTTAAAATTTTGAACGCTCGTAGAGTAGGTCTCATGTCAAACTACTTAGTTGGTACACTAGTTTCGATATCAATGTGTTTATATAAACTCACAAATCTCCTATATTATAATAAGTGATTCATAATGCTGATTTTTTACGAAATGATTTTAAAAAACACCATTATTAATGTTGTATAGAATATGCATACCACACCAACCATTTATAAAAAGCTATATTCTTTTTTAACAACGTTTTAGTAAACTACGTAATATCCAATATTAATAATACTTAAGTTTATAATGATTTAAAATCTAATTTTTTTAATTCGGTTCGGTGCAGACCAATTATATATATACATATATATGTTAATTTATAGTTAATTAAAATTAGAAAAAAAAAACAAGAAAACTATAATTTAATTTTAAATATAATTTATAATTATTAAAAATCAATTATTATTTTTTATTTAATCAATATTTTATCTAAATTTTTTTTTTTTTATAAATATCGAAAAAATAACACGGTTCATTTTAATGCAGAATGAACTGAATTGAATAAAAAAACTCTAATTTTCTGTTAATTTTAATTTTCGATCTATATTCGGGTCGGATTCGGTTTGGCCCTTCGAACAATCCAGTTGGGGGAACATTCGGGTCGGATTCGGTTCGGCCCTTGGAACAACCCAGTTGGGGGAACAGAAGTACATTATCCAAATACAGTTATGTGGACTTTGATGGGATCGTGGAAACCCAGTTCTTAAGGTGATTGGGTTTTATAACTAACTGGTAAACTGGTAGGAGAGAAAACATTTGATTTTATTTGAATTTTCCCGAATTGATATACGCATCAGACCAGATTGCCTTCTTCCTCATGTTCCTTATTTACCCTAACTTGCGCCTCCTCTTAAACCCTCCTCTCTTTCTTTTCTCCAAACCCAACTCAACACCTCTTTCTCTCTTTACCGTCTTTGCTTCTTCATCTCATAAACGACACCGTAGCGTTTCCTATCGGGACTCCCCTTTTGGTCTTCACCGGAGGAGGAGAAATTTCACTACTTTCAAGGAGAGGGACAAACGGACTTCAATGGAGGAAAATGAATCTTCTTCTTCTTCTTCTTCTTCTTCTTTTGGGTTTAATAAGAGAAGGGCTGAGGGGTTGGATAAGAATGATAGGCCTAAGAAGAATCTTCAGTTGAAAGTACGCAAGCTTAATCCTACTAATACAATTGCTTATGTTCAGGTAAGCTTAATCCATCCTTTATGCTAGGTTTTTTTCTTTTCTCGTTTTGAGTTTGTGAGTGTCGAATTCTTTTGGTCGTTATGATTATGGATATTCAAGTTTCACCTATTTGTACTTTTGGTTGGAGAAGATTAATTGTTCAACTGGTGAGAAAATTTTGAGTAGTTTTTTTGGTATCTTTGATTGCAATGTGGACGTTTTCAATTAAGTGTTTTTCTTTTTGGTCCTACCTAGATAATGTCTGAAGCATGGTTACTTGTAGGTATAGTTGAACTGCTTTTCGATTTCAAGCTAGTTAAGTTTTTCTTTTCTTTTCCTTTTTAATTTTAAGATTAAAGCTGAGATTTTGGATAGGTGTTTGTGCTTCCTGGACCTCTATAAGATTAGTTGAAAAAGAAAAGAAACTTATTTTTGAGCTGGATGCATTGCTCTTTTGGAACTAGAATCTGTTTGCCCGTCCAGTATTTCAGTTCAGAGGAACTACATTATCCAAATAACTCTGTGGATGTTTCCGAGATGTAATCTGTTACTCGATCTATCTGTTTCTTATCCAAATAAGTTCATAGGAACTTACATATTCAATTTCCCACACCCTGATACTGAACAATCTAACACGATTGATATAATTTGGATGCTTCTAGATTATTTGAAAATCAATTCGGTACCATTTTTGTGGAGAAGTTTATCCTTTATATATATATTTATTTCTATTTGCTTTGTGTGATTGCTTTTCTGCAGCGTGAAATTTTCAGATTTTTGAACATTCTGTCTGTCGACACTCTTGGTGACTTCTTCTGTAAAATAAAATTTGGTTTTTTCTGAGATTCTTTTAATGTACTGTAGATTTTGGGGACTGGAATGGATACTCAGGACACATCACCTTCAGTCTTGCTTTTCTTTGACAAGCAAAGATTTATATTTAATGCAGGAGAGGTAAAGCCTGATACAGGACTTATTTCTAATACAATTGTTTGAGAACCAACTTAGCTTATGTGCAATTCAATTTATTAAAACAAGGGTAAGTCATATGCCTAATTTTCATAAATGGGCGGCACCCCCATTGGTACCCTATTAATACATATTCACACTTTTTATCTCAAGAAAAAAATTCATGAATCTTCCTTTGCAATTCACTGATCCAATATGAAAAGAAATGGGAATAAAATATTCTGGAATTGGATTTTATCTACTACATTGTAATTTATCAGTATTCTTGCTTAGCAAACTGTTTGCATGTTAAATGAATGCTTACCCTAGCTAATTTGGTTTTTATGCTAAGTGTATAGCTGGTAGGAGAGACAAGATCAAGATGCAAAACCATTAGAATTGGATTGAGGGTGATTTGGTTGGAGAGTGAAACAAATATTTTAAGGGATCAAATTTCCACGTTTTCACTTCTTAGGTATAAGCTGTCTTTCTTGGTGTCTATTTGTGCTAGGCACATTTTTCTTTGTTAATGTTGAACAGAATGAACAGATTGTCTAGCTATCCTTTCACAAGGGTAGTTGGACTTTCTCCTTTTTTATTTTTTCTTTTAAGACGAATATCCAATCCTCCATTCTGAGTAAGAAAGTACTCAAAAACTTTTTACTGAAATTCTGCCTATGCTTTTAGTGCCACAGCTGATTGTAAATTCACTGACAGGACAAAAAAACAACATAGAACTACCTTTATGTAACTTCTTTTGACTGATAAACGCTCGCATCTAATGAGAAACTGCTCATATTTTTCTATTTTTAAATACTAATCAAAATACTAAAAGTACTCTCAGCGATTGTTTTATTTTATTATGGTCCCTAACTGTTTGACAATGGGATTGTTCTTATATAATTAAAACTTTAAGAAAAAAAGCTCCATATCAGTGTAATTTGGCTAGCTGATGGGAGCTAAGATGGATTTCAGTCTGGATATATAACTAAGCTATGACTTAACTGTGCAAAATGAAATTCCAAGTTGTCTGCCCTTTGTTTTTTGGATTGGTCATGCATCAAAGAATAACCAAATTGTGGAAATGAATTTCAATGTATTGCTGCATGACTATTAGATTTTAAATAAAGATGATGGTAATGGGATGTTTATTATAAAAATCTATGAAAATCTGGATGTCCTTGTCATTTGCCTTTTTACTCCCATGCAGGGATTGCAACGATTCTGCACAGAGCATAAGATTAAATTATCAAAGGTATGGGAACATTTATTTCTCCTGCTGTGAATATACACTTTTTAAATTTCTTTGTCTTCAACTTCCTATCCAACATGGGGAAGCATACTGATATTTGGAATTTTTCCTTTCCCTATATTTAAAGGGGTTTTTGTTTTTCTTTGTTCTCTTTGATGGGAGGATGTCTCTTCTTTCAATAATATCTTCTTCTTTTATAAAAAATAAATAAATAAATAAAATATATGGAATCTTTCTTCAGGTAGATCACATATTTCTTTCTCGTGTCTGCTCAGAGACAGCGGGTGGGCTTCCAGGTTCATGCCTCAAAACTTGATAGTAATCAATGATGTTTATAATCATGATAGACTGTCCACTTAGAAGCAAATAAGTATTTCTTGTATTGAGATGCAACAGCAAGAACCATTATCATAACCCCCCCTAATGCTGAGATTTTGAATCCTCTCTTAGGTCTGCTGTTGACTTTGGCTGGCATCGGAGAAGAGGGAATGACTGTGCGTATCAAAATGATGTTATAAATATCTTTCATCCTTCCTATAATTCATTCAAATTGACTAGAAATTGTGCCAAATTATTAAACTTTGTAGCTTATGACACTGTGAAGGTTAATGTTTGGGGTCCTTCAGATCTCAAGTACCTAGTTGATGCAATGAGATCTTTCATCCCGCGTGCTGCCATGGTTCACACTCGGAGCTTTGGGCCTGAATCATGTTCTGATACTAACATTCTGCCTGACCCAAGTAAGTTTGTTGATCCTATTGTTCTTGTTGATGATGAAGTTGTGAAAGTATCAGCCATCCTCTTGCGCTCAAGTTGTTCGGTAGGCTCTGCGGTAAAGCCTGGTGAGATGTCAGTGCTATATGTTTGTGAATTGCCTGAAATTATGGGGAAATTTGATCCCAAAAAAGCTGTGGCTCTTGGACTAAAAGCTGGTCCAAAATATGGTCAACTTCAATCAGGGAAATCAGTGAAGTCAGATCGCTTAGATATCATGGTAATCTTAGGAACTAGTAAACTTGGAAAAATCCCATAAGTTCCTATCTTTTCGAGTATATGAAGTTTCTTTTGTGAAACATGTTTTAACTTTTTTTTTGACCTATTGTGTAGGTTCACCCAAGTGACGTAATGGGACCCTCTGTTCCTGGTCCTATAGTTTTCCTTGTTGACTGTCCTACAGAACATCATGCCCAGGAATTATTGTCCACAGAATCTCTTAGTATTTATTATGCAGATTTTTTGGGGAAGTCAGAAGGAACTACAAAGACCGTAAATTGTATTATCCACTTAACCCCTGCTTCAGTCATACACACTCAAAGTTACCAAGAATGGATGAAGAGATTTGGTTCAGCCCAACATATTATTGCTGGACATGAAATGTGAGTCACTTCTTTTCATATAAAAAAACGTGAGTCCCTTTTTCAAGGGTGTTTTCTACTTGAATATAAGCAAATATCATGTGCCTACTTAAATTGAAACACTTCTTGTTTGCATGTCTGTTTGCAGGCAGAATGTGGAGGTCCCAATTTTAAAAGCTAGTGCAAGAATTGCGGCAAGACTTAACTACTTGTGTCCACAGTTCTTTCCTGCTCCAGGTTTTTGGTCTCTTCATCACAGTAATAACTCAGCAGTAGAACCTATCACCTCAATCAAGGTTTGTTTTGATGGTTTAAAAGGACAAATTTAAATTATTGGAATATCTTGATTATTTCTTTTTTTTTGTTTGAACAATGGACTTTCTATTTGCTGTTTTAGCAGAGTCCTGATTCAAAGCTCTGTGAAAGCGTTTCGGCCGAAAATCTTCTGAAGGTATAGCTTTCTTCCTTTTTGCATTTTTTTTTTTGCTAAGCAGGTAACTAGCTGGTTCATGTTGTGAGATGCTCCTTATTCTTATTTGGTTAACGCTATACTCTGTTACTTTTTGGTTGTTTTGTTGACATCTAATTACAATGATCCTGTTCATTAATTTCCCAATTGTAGTCTCACTAATTTGGAAATCTAAGAGGGGGTTTGTGTTCTCAAAGGTCCATCCATAGCAGGAAGTTAGCTTTCCTTCCCATATTAAGATATGCATTTTGTAATAGGCATTTCCATACCATACAGTACTTTAATGTTTAAATTTGATTAGTTTGGATTTGGTTGCAATTTTTTTTTTTGAAATTAAAAGTATGAACTATATTATCATGGTACCATAAAACCGGAGGTACCACCCTTATACATAAAATTTTACAATATAGTTAGTGAGTGTATGACATAACTAAATTCACATAACTAATCATGTCATTCCCTAACAACAAAAACCTAAAATAATGCATACACCTATCTCTTAACCTATACAAATCAGTAGGTTTATCCTCAAAAGATCTAAAATTTCTTTTCTTCCAAAGAATCCAAAACAAGGATATTGGAATAATATATTTCAACTTTCTATCTAAATGAATACCATCCTACGCCCACAACTCCTCCCTAATAGATCCGGCCATCACCCAATTAACCCCAATCAACCTATAAATGGTGCTCCATAAACCAAACGCCATCAGACACCACAACAAAACATGTTTGCAACTTTCCGCATCAGCCATACATAAATAACATCTGTTGGGAATAAACAACCCCCGAGCAATTGAGTTATCAATTGTCAATATGCATTCTCTACTTGCTTCCCACGCAAAAAAAAAAAAAAGCAACTCTAGGAGGAACATTAGCCTTCCAAATCTGTCTAGTTGGGAGAATTAAGTTCATGACATTATTTCTGTTAGTTAAGTGCTTGTAGTAAGATTTGACAAAAAAAACCCCACTTTTATCCACCTTCCACTGCACCTTGTCCTCACCATCAATCAACTGTTGGGCAGACAATAAACATAACAGATTTTCAAATTCTCTGAGTTCCAGTCCTGCAAATTTCTAGTTACACTGATCAGCCAAACAACACTATCGGAATTTGAAATATATGCATCCTGAAGCAGCATATTTTGTGCCTGCGCCATAGAATAAATTCTGGAAAACCTGTTAAACAAAGACACATTATCAATCCAGGCATCCTTCCAAAATCTGATTTTATTGCCCCTACCAGCCTTCCGCTGCAAATTTTCCTTAAACTGTGGCCATTGCATCAGGATTTTCCTCCACAAACTTTTGCCATGGGTTCTTCTGGGTCTTGTTACCCCACTATCATCCCACACAAGATCACCCCAACGAATCTGGACAATATGCAGCGATTTGGTTGCAATTACTGGGTGCTTTGACCATCCTTGGATTCTTCTACAGTATGCATGATTTTTTGCTTGTGAGTGTTAAATCTTTTAAAAATTAATGAAGTCTCTATTCTATGGTTTCTATGCTGCCAGTTCACCTTGCGGCCACATGCTCACCTTGGACTAGACAGGTCTTCTATTCCTACTCCATCAACTTCTTCAGAAGTAATTGATGACCTACTTTCAGAAATTCCAGAGATTGTAGATGCTGCCCAACATGTCAGGCAGGTGTCTCTTGGGCAAGATGGCAAAAATATGATTGAAGAGCCGTGGTTGAGTGAGAATAGTGCTCCTAATTGTCTGGAAAATATAAGTAGAGATGATCTTGAGATTGTTCTTCTGGGTACTGGTTCATCTCAGCCTTCAAAATACCGGAATGTTAGTTCTATTTATCTCAATCTTTTCTCAAAGGGAAGTTTGCTGTTAGATTGTGGGGAAGGAACCCTTGGACAGCTGAAAAGAAGGTAACAACTGTTCATGAATTTAGTTATATATTAACTTTGTTATGTAATTTTGTTTTAATTTTTTTTGTCATCCTTAAACCACTCATAATGGTTGCTGCGTCCTGAGTGCAGATACGGTGTAGAAGGTGCTGACAATGCAGTAAAAAATCTAAGGTGCATCTGGATATCTCACATTCATGCTGATCACCACACAGGTTTGGCCAGAATACTTGCTCTTCGACGTGATCTTTTACAGGGAGTGCCTCATGAGCCATTGCTTGTTGTGGGACCAAGGCAGCTTAAGAGATTTTTAGATGCGTATCAAAGACTTGAAGATCTAGATATGTTGTTTCTTGATTGTAAGTACACTACAGAAGTGTCTTGGAATTCCTTTGAGAGTGATCTTGAATCAAAGAAAAGTTACTCATCCCCAGGAAGTGTGATTGATTTTGAGGATACAAACAATAAGAATGCAAAGAATACTCAAGGAAGTTTATTTGCTAGAGGAAGCCCAATGCAAAGTATTTGGAAGAAGCCAGGCAGTCCAACTGACAATAATGCAGCTTTTCCATTCCTTAAGACCTTGAGGAGGGTGCTTAATGAAGCAGGGTTGGAGTCTTTGATTAGTTTTCCTGTTGTGCATTGTCCTCAGGCATATGGTATTGTCTTGAAAGCAGCAGAAAGAATTAATAGCGTAGGGAAAGTGATACCAGGGTGGAAGGTTGCATACTCAGGTGACACTAGGCCCTGCCCTGAACTTGTAGAAGCATCTTGTGGAGCGACAATTCTCATTCACGAGGCAAGTCATTTTACTGAATTCTCTGCTCATAGCTTGTTAAATTATTTTTGTTTAAGCACATTCTACGTTGTTATAAGGGTCCAATGTTCAACGTCGGCATCTCTAAATTGGGTGCTCTCGTGACATCCTGACCTACTTTATGCTCATGAAATGTCCTTAAATGCAACTTAGAGTTTAGGTATCGGTACAATCATACATAGAGTACCATTTAAAATAGAAATGGCTAGTTATACTTGCATGTTTGTTTTTCTACTGAAAATTTTAGTACTAGGTGGGCTTTCGGATTAGAGATTTTTGTAAATTTAATTTATTCGTACTTTTAGCATTGTGGTTATCATTACTAATTGGAAATCACCTATGCCCTTCAGGGAAGATAAAAGAAAATGGTATATATTGATTAACAAATTGTTATGTTGCAGGCAACTTTTGAGGATAGCATGGTAGAGGAGGCTGTGACAAAGAACCACAGTACAACTAAGGAAGCCGTGGAAGTGGGATCTTCTGCTGGTGCATATCGCATCATCCTCACCCATTTCAGCCAAAGATACCCCAAAATTCCTGTAGTAGATGAGACATATATGCATAAAACATGCATTGCTTTTGACATGATGAGTATTAACATAGCTGATTTATCTGTGCTTCCTAAAGTTGTTCCGTATCTTAAATTGCTTTTCAGAAACGAGATGGCCCTTGATGAATCAGATGATGTTTATAGGTGCTACAACTGCAGTTTTATAATAAATATTTATTAATTTTTCATCTTTGTCTTCTTCCTCTTCCTACTTGGCCTATTTGGCTCCGTTTGGGAGCCTTGTGACCATTATCGTAGTCTGTTTCTGGAGAGATTTTAGCTGTTTTAAGCTATTGGTCTTGGTTTGGACCAAATCATCAAACATCATGCTTGGTATGTAACCAAGTCACAGTCTCAGCGTTCATGCTTAGTTTAACACCAAGTCATTGTTGCTACACTCTGTTTTAAGCCGTGGTAACTGGTGATTTAGGACAAATGAGTCTCCTAAAAGATTGGGGATGATTATATTAGTTTGGTATTTTATTATTTTAGGCCTACATAAAGCTTTACTTTTCTAACTCATTTTCTTTTTCGGATTTTATACAATTAGAACGCAGAATATGTTCTATTCCCCTTTTGTTAAACCAAAAAATTTATGGAATTATTGGTGCTTAAACAAACATTTAATTACCATGATTTCTGTTTTATTACATCTTAGATATCTAATCACTGCTTTAGTTTTGCAAAAAATCATTTTCAGGAACCCTTTCTTACCCTTGTCTCCATCACCCTATTCCATTCCCACTCCATATTCACCGTAGGTAAAGAAGTTTCTCTATTTTTATTTCATAGATAAATTTTTAGTTCCATCATAAAATATTAAGTATATAAATAATTATTAAATGTACACTAAAAAAAATAAATATAATAAATGATATATAAATACAAAATAACATTAATATAAAAAAACATACTCTCACTTTTACCTTTATATCAAATTGCATTGTCTGAATTTTAATTGTAGTAGTGTGCTTATCACTCTTATAATATATCAAATTAAAAATTTTATTAATTTTAACCATTCTTGTAAAGTAAACTACGAAAACATTACTAAGTTCCGTGATATTTTTATTATCAAAATTTTTATTTTTTAAATTTTGTGTATAGTATAATTTTATTCATAAAAACATTTAAAAGTAACATATTTAAGGAGTGATAAGTATAAACAAAATAGTTTTACAGAGCACTATAACAATATTTTAAAATTATATAATTTCATCATCATTAAATACACTTTTTAAATTATAAATTATATAACCAAATTTAATCACAATTGATATGATAAAGTTTAACATGCAAGGTTTTTGTTCCACATAAAATTGCATATGACCTTATCTTGTATGATCACCCAAAAACATTATACCAATACTCCAATCTCAAGCATTACCACAATCTTAAACATAATAGGCAGACTTCTCTATTACTTTCTTCTTCTCCATCCTGTTTTGTCCAATTAAAGACATGAGATGACAGTCTCATTATTTCACATTTCACACTACTCATGCATTATACTCAACACTTAACAGAACTAATTCATAAAACATAACTAACATGCATCTTCATCAGATGTTTTAGGTTTCACAGGGATTGTAGGCTTCAAATGTAAGTTTTAATTATCTTCCTCTTTTATTATCATATCTTACGCCTTCTTCACTAAATAAATTGAACCTTATGATCTCCAAGTTCACAAAACTTGTCATGGTGATTAGTAAACATTTGACAATCAGTTGTAATTTAAATATTAAAGCATGCTAATTCCTACCAAAATTTCAACCTAATACCATAATAGTTAACAATTCCCATGATGGCTGTAAGAGTGAATGCGTAGCCTGCCAATATTACCAAAGCTGAGATGGATGAGACAAACAGGGTATCCACAGACAAGTTTACCAAACCAGTGAGTACATTGGCCTGCATGGATTTAATAAAACTCAACAAACCACTCTTCTACTTTGATACTGTAGAAATATATATATATATATATATATTGCAAATTAAATAAAGCATAGTGTAGTTTGCTCACCAGAAGAAATACAGCCATTAAGTTCTTGTCAAATGCTTCTTCAAGCACTGAAGTTTTACTTCCATGGAGATAATCGAAAATCATGAAAACTGCTAAAACCTGAAAATTCTAGGTAGTCATGCATTGTACAAAAATTTAAAATTACCAAAACTGATTATCTAACATTCTGAAACCGTAAAATAGAAAACAAGAGATAGTAAACCAAATACCATCATGTACAATTGAGGTGAACAAGTAGTCCAATATTAAATCCAGAAGAGCAAGGTTAGTTAGAAACCTATAATTAAACTAATTACATCGTCATTATTCACTAAGTGTGCAACATGCGTCGGAGTATTTCCGAGTTATTTTATTAAAATACTACTAATGTATTCCAATTCTAAATATTCAAAAATTATGAATTCTAAAGAACATTTAAAAAAATCACATTAATAAAAATACTTTTACTTAATTTAGCTAAGAAAAAAATAAGACAGCTCCCACTAGCTATATGTCAAGTTCAGGTGATGTGAGACACGGATGCAACACAATAAATAGGAGTAGGAAGCATGCACAGTCAAGTTATCAAGGGAAATAAAAATTTTGAATGAAAAAAATTATTAACTCCAAGTAAATTCTATGTCTATTCCAAATTAGAGATTTTGTAATTCATCCCTTGACAAGTGGATATATAAATATATCATTTTAGAATTTAAGATATAAGTTGATTTAATTGTTTATGTAAGCTATCACCAAATTATACTTATCAAATAACTAATGTCTAAAAATAGAATTAGAATAGAATAGACTAAAATTAAATGTGGAAACTAAAAGAAATGAGAAACAAGAAAATTGAAATAATATAATCGGAAAGAATTAGAACTGGAAGAAGAAGAAGATGAGATTTAAGAGAAGAAAGGATAGAAGCATGAGAGAAGAAAGCATCCAAACTTGTTATACAACTATCTCAGGTCAAAAACTGGTGATTATTTTACGAGCAATTCGTCAAACAGAGAACTATGGCTTGTACCACAACGAAAACAACAATGGCTGCCCAAAGCCAGAGGAGCAAAATTCACAGCATAAACAATAAAATAAAACCAAAAACAGAAGGAAAGGAGAACCAACATATTATCAGGAAAGAAACGTTATCGACTCTCCCAGTCATCAGTATATGGAATTTCAGCATTTCCCAAATAAACTAAAAATGTTTAAGAATTCATAAAAATAAAATAATAACATAACTAAGATATTCTCTCATACTCTGAATCCCATTTTTCAAATCCTTTAGGTTGGAAGGAAATTCTTTTACAAAATTTTCTACAGATAAATGTTATCTTGAAAATAAAATGCATTAACACATGCGACATGAGCTTTAAGATACCCCTTTCTACCATATTGATCGAATCTGAATCCTTGTTCCATCAAAAGGTAAAAAAGTCAAGTTGGTAGGAAACCAAAGGTCCGACTTTTATGTTGACATTTATATGCCCAAGATTTAATAACCTAACCAGTGTTGAATAAGCTGACTACATTACTGATATCCGAAAGTTGGCACACAAGCACAGATTGCCAAGTTAAACATGAAACCCAAGAAAACTTATAGATATCATCTAGATGGGTCGTTTTAGTATCTAAGTTAAGAAAAAAGAACCATCAAGTTTACCACAAAGCAAATTTATTATATAAGAGGCAGTTACATGACTTATGCGTTAATTGAGATGTCGGGCTGAGTTAACATCATGATGAATATTTGGTTATTTAAGTTTGACAATTATTGGGCAGTGCCCTTATAACTAATAGCATTATAGGTCACCCCCATGAAATCAAATAATAACTAAAAAGCACAGAAAATATGTAGGTCACCTGTAGATTTTGTGCCAGAACCCAAGTAACATAAGCCAGATTGCACTGCCAGTAGTTGTTTGATTCAGTTTTCATTAACATTTTACAGTAATAATTCCACATATTAACAAATCAAACCAGCATACCATTCTGCGAGAAACTCTTTCTATGTACTTTTCTTCAAGCAAAGTGAGTAACCTGAAACAAGCTTCCAAAAGGTTAGCAAACTCTTAGAGTAAATGATTTTCTTGGTTGTTGATCCATTAGAATTATGTAAATAAATGGTTGGTTACTCAATTATGGTAAAAGCTTACATGACAGCCAACAACCAATTATTCATCATCTATGCTATAATATGCCACCCTTATATTCAAGTTAGATAAGAAGCTTAGTATATGAATGTGAATGCAAACATGAAAGACAAACATAAATCCACGGCCTATATGAAAAAGCCTAATGGCAAGCAGGAAACAGGTGAATGATATGGAGTAAGATTCCCCTGGTTTGAAACCTTTGCTTTAACACCATTGAAATAATTGTCCAGAGCACCAATTTAAAAGCTTAAACTAGAAAGAAAAAGACTCAAACTTTGTATTCATATTCCAACAAACAAAAGTATTTTTATCAAAGAAACCGTACCAAAACAAAAGAGAAAGAAGCCAGGTTTTGACAATCACTGCCTTACTGCTTCTCAATGTTGCAGATCGATGTTTTCCGAAAAAGAGATAGAAGCCCAAGTAGACACCAATTAGATACATACCCCAATATCCTGAGAATAATAACAGTAAATTACTTCAAGAGGTTCCATTTTTGAGGGTTCATTAAGTTGAAATATAAGCAAAACCTTTTATAAGAAAAAAAAAAAAAGGAAAATTGTTGTCAAGTACAATAGAAGATATTGCCAATGTGATAAAGACCAAAATTCTACCTAATCTTTAACCCCCTCCTTCCAGGTTCCACCAATTTGTTATTCCAAGGTCAAGCAAATATGATCTCTAACTTCACCAATAATGGGCTTATTTATTTTGCTGCGAATTTTAATTAATTTATTAGTTTTCTTTCTAGCAGCGATATAATTTATTTATGGTTTAAAAAATTAGTTTTAGTATGTAAGACTACAGTATGATAACTTTATGATTAAGCTACCCCACCATCAAGGAACTTAATGAATGGAGTAACACACCCATAAAAAAATCATGTTCTAATCATACAAATTAAGATTAAAATAAAAATAAAAATTAGTATTTATCTAGAAATGAAATAAAAATAGAATCAAACATACCTTAAATAACTATTTCTAACTAAATTATGATTAAATTAAAGGCTTCAAGGCTCTGTTTGGTTATGCTTTTGAGTTGCTTTTTCTCAAAATGTAATCTTATCTTTGGGGATTAGTTTTGGTGATAGGTTTTTTAATTAATTTTTCCAAAATTTTTCAATTGAAAAATGAAATAATTGATTGTTCTAAAAAACAACAATGTAGTTGCTTTTCCAAAGAAACAAATGCAATTCTTAATGGAACGTAATCAATTGAGGGATGGTAAAGTGGCCCTTACTATGGAAGAAGACGTGAACTTTAAGAAACATTGGGTTCAAGCTGAGTAATCAACTTTTGGATGAATTTTTGCAAAAGCGTTGTATAAAAACCTATAATCTATACTTGCAAAAAAAAAAACCCCTATAGCCTAAACTCTTAGCTGCCAAAAGCAGTATCATGTAGTCATGAATTAAACTCTTTGGTGCGCTGAAATTGCAACTCATTGGCCAAGACTTGCACAATGTTTGGACAAGAGGGAAGTGGAAGCAAAGGAAAGCAAAGGATAGAATGTTCACCATTCTTTAACTTGTTGAACAAAACCTAATAATTAGTAATGGAGTGGAAGGGATAGTAAGCATCTCTCCTTTCTCTTTAAGCTCTTATTTTCCAATTATTTTTGTTGAAGAAGGCATTATATGTAAATAATCTAAAAGAATTAGATTAAAGGGCATTATGGTAAAATATGTGTAATTAATTGTTGGATTTCTTTTCCATTCTATAAAATTTGTATACATAAGGTCATGATATTTTATAAAATACACTCAATTATTCCTAACAATTCTAAATTGAAAAAAAAAACAAAAAGAGGAAAGAGTTCAAAATTTTTTGAAGGGAAAATTTTTATTATCTACCTTGTCATTCTATTAATAAATGGTATTTCTCACTTCTTTTATGCCTAAAATTTTCCCTTCCTTTATAAATCTAAACCAAACAAAATACTATAACAATTTTTCTTCTTTTCTTTTACTTACTTAAATAAGGACTACATTTTTCCTTTACTTACCTTTCTTTTCCTTTCCTCTATATTCTTTCCAAAAGTTTAACCAAACATGGTGTTAATAGCATTGTTCAGCAAGCATCTTTCTTAGAGTCCAATTTCTATGTGATTTATGAAAAAAAAAGACACTTGGGGGCATCAATAGGTACTGTAATAAAAAAACACATGTAGAGGCACCAATCATCAACATCCATCTTTCTTGCTTTGAGATTATGATTACCATCATGATGTAACAGAATATGCTTGCTTTATGAGAAGTTCCTTATTAGTAGCATGAACATCAAAGAAATTTATGGTGACGTCATACTAAAATTGTCCTCACCAAATATGCTAAAGATTCCCTCCTTGTTTTTGCTTATGATATCAACTCCTCTTCCATCAGACAAAAGATAAGCATTTAACCCATGACTTAACCAACTTTGATACCCTGAAAATTAGGAATCAAGTTAAGTTGGCAATATATAATAGAATAAATTTACTTAAGACATGAATGGGGACAAAAAAATATAGATTATTACCAATAAGAATTACTGAACCAAGAATTCCGGCATATTGAGGGGGAACATTAACTATGGATGTAACAACTGAGATAGCAGCAAGTGTGAAAAAGAAATTCCAATGAACTCCATATTCCCCAACATGAACCTACACAAGGAGCAGGGGAAAAAGTGGTTTTATGTATGAGAAGGTTAAGGTAGCAAATTGCATGAGGAAACCCTCAGAAAAGGGTAGATGCAAGATTTAAAACAGAACACTTGTAAGAGCAGACTGACATAGGGCAAAGAGGATTTGAACACAATATGACGAAAAATTTTAACAAGAAACCAAATATGAAGATATCATATTTAAATAATTAAATAAGTATTTTAATATCTGTATTATGGATCATCTAAATAACTCAGCTTTAAGGTACCAAACATAAATTTTAAGTCTTCCTAGGAAATAAGGTAAATAAAAAGTAAAATAATTATTGAAGGACGTATTGTAGGGAGCAACCAAATAGGACCCTAGCTAAATAGGAAATAATAAGCTCATACAAGCAATAAGCTTTATATAGTAGTTACTAAAAAGATAAATACCTCTAATAATACATAACCATAATAATTATAAAAATCTCTTATTGAAATATGTCTAACTTAGGATCTTCTAACTCAGTATAAGCAGATATAACTGGCAGCATTTTTCATGGTGGAGAAAGGAATCTAGTGTCTGTTTCTTGAATGATTAAGTTTGACTCTAAGATGCTTAAGCTTTAAACAACAAAGATAGGGCAAAAAGATTAATGAAAGCGGAAATCTTTCTAATCCATTTACCCAAAGCGAGACATAGAGAGAGAGAGAGAGAGAAGTGCTAGAAGAAATTCACACAGGCACATACTAAGCAAACTGGCAAGTCTAAACCAAAGAAAAGGCTCCTAGAAACAACTCACTACCAAGGGAATCTACAAGTCTGTCCAACCACTGGTCGAGTCAAGAAGCCCCTCACAAACCTGGAAGGCTCTTCAAGAAATCCACAAGTATCCAAAAAGTACTGAGATATGATCAGTGTTTCCAGAGCCATTCAATGCTTGCATTAGGAGGCTGCTGTGGCATACCTTGTGGGTCTGTTTGAGAACACCAACCTTCGCGTCATTTATGGTAAGTGTGTTACTACCATGCCACAAAACATTCAGCTGGCATTGAGGATCAGGGGAGAGTGCACCAAAGCATTGGGTGGAAAGCTGATCTACATGGGGAAGTGGAAAATGGAATACAATGTTAGCTTTTGTTCCTTTGAAGTGGTCAGACAAGGTGGATAAGGTTAGGACTGAGGGTGGCAGGATGCTTGCTGGTGGTTTTAATGGAAATACATTTGCATTGGAATATTTTTTAAGGTGTGAAAAGGGATATATATGTGGCCACTGTTTTTGGTGGTGATTGGTGAGCTTCTGTTATTGCAAACTAATCTTTAGTGTAGTCTGCTACTGTGAACTCAATACTTTGTTATAGAATGTGGGATGGTTTGTCTTCTGTTCGCAAAAGAAAAGACAATTGAAAAACAAAGAAAGAGCAGCAAGACATAAGGCATCAGTCCCTCAGTAAACTAATAGTTTTTTTATATAGAATCAGTAAACTAATATGTTTAGGTACATCTGCAACAAATGAACTTCACTCAGGAATTTATTTGGATGTTCATACTTATTAATACGAGGGATGAAATAGCATTCCAAATTGTACCAAAACTAAAATTCTCTGTCAGGTCAATTTCCATCACTTTGGAAGGACTTTTCAAATTGTTTCATAACTAAAGTGTGACTACCCAAATGAATTCTGCAAACAAAGTTCATTTGTTCCGAACATAGCCTTAGTATCCAAAAAATAAATCTGAAAATTACTACCACTGAGTTGTCAAACTGAAATAAACTTTGGGACTCATATTTGCTATAGTGTCATCAATAAATATTTTTTTTGAAATAAGTGTCATTAGTAAATATAGAACAACCTCAACATGTATAGAAGCAAGTAACTTTTTCATCAAAGAATAGGCTAGTAGGAAAATTTGTCTTGATGGTACTACCTGATAATCCACACCTGCTGTAGAAACAAGCCGACCAAAACCAATTAATATTAATGGACTGGCTCCTTTAAATGCAGTCATCCAATTCCTGGGTAAGCATGAGAAAAAGATAAGAAACCAGTGAGACAAGTTAGGTCACAACAGCTAAGTTCACTGGCAATGATATAAGTCAACATGATCATATAAGTTATTCAGTAATCTGAACTACCATGCAAACTGCCTTTATATAAGTTAATCACGCATAAAGATTTGAAAATCTTAGAAAAATATCAACAATAGCACAAGCAGCTCCAGACTACTGTATTTACATCTTTAAACAGAATAGCTGCAAGATGAACTTGAATAAATTTAACAATACAGGCAATACAAACAGCTAAAAATACTTCTGCCTGTATTTCTTCACCTTCATCTCAATTCCCTAGCCTCGGTTCTAACACTTCCTCTATTTTCTAAACTATCACAGGACAAGTTTTCAAAGTTATTTGTCCTACTTTAGCTGGTAACAATGTAATACCCGATTCCGAAATTTGGTCCGAAATTAATTTTAAAATTAAAAAATATATATAAAAATATAATTTATAAATTTATAAATTTTTATTTAATGTAAAATTAGAAAAAAATAGGTGAAAAATAAAATTGAAAATAATTTTGGAGAAAATGAGTGAAAATTTGAGTTCGTAGGGTATTTTTGAAAGAAAAATCGGAAACTGGAGGTCAAAATGCAATTAAAGCAAAATGTACCACGTAGAACTGGCCAATCAACGGCCCCGACGAACTGGAGTGCGCTGCATGGCAAAGCACGCTGACTCGGTGCCACGCGGGAGGCCACATTGGCAATCTGCATGATAAGTTCCCGCGTACATGGACGGCCCGAATAAGTTCCCGCGTGCGTGGACGGTTTGGATCCATTCCCTCTTCAGACGGGATCGGACGGTCGCGATTAAACGCGATGAACGGCCCAAATTCGTTCTCTCTTTAAACGCGATCGTATGGTCAAGATCAAATCGCGATGAACGGTTCATATTCATTTCTTCTTTAAACGCGATCGGACGGTTAAAATCAAACGCGATGAACGGCCAGATTTAAGGGAGACGGGTATAAATATCTCACTTTACATCAAATCCAAACCCTAGCTGCCAGCTTCCTGCCGGAGAAGAAAAATCAGTCGTCGGAAAAGGAAGCCGACCGCCGCCTATCACCGCGCCGGAGCCACCTCCGACCGCCAAAAAAGGTAAAATTCTCTTATTCGCTTGGAATTTGATTTTGAACACTCTCATGACCAAATCGAAGCAAAAAAAAACGGTGGATGAGCCGAAAACCGCGGGTAAAGCGCAATAGTGCCATCGCGGGAAAAACTAAAAATCACTTCCGATGAGTCCCTTCCCGTTTCTCGTTTCATGCGATTTTTCTACTATTGTATTTACCATTCTATTTTCTACAGGTTGACTGAAGAAAAATGTCCAGCCACAAAGGTGAGCCGGCAGAGCCCTCGCATCAGAAAATTCCGCAGACTGTAAGTTTTTATTTTTTTGACTTTTTTCAGCCAACTGAGACCCCCTAACATGTTTTCTCGTATGGATGGATATAAAACCGGCCGAAAGCGACCAAAATTGGCCGAAAACGGTTAGCCCTAGGTAAATCGCCGCCGCAAACAGCGGTGCCGCCGTGCCATAATTTCGAAATTAGCTGGAAAATAGTTTTAACACCGATTTTGGATTTTTTGGAGTATTTCTAAGTACGTAAAGTTTATTTTAATCTCTGCAGAAAAATTCAAAAAACCCGAAAACCGCCAGTAGGCGCAGTAGAAAGTTCAGTATTTAGGACACCGATTCGGATAAAAATCTCTTACCTTATTCTTTATTATAGAATTGAAGTTTAATTATCAATAATACAGTATTTTACATAATTTAGAAAATTTTGAGAATTAATTACATATTACTAATGGAGCCAGAACCACTTATTTATTATTGTTATCCTGTTTAACTGATTGATTGATTTTACAGTTTTAAATGTATGATAATATACTGGAATTGGTAGAATGATTCAGTTGTGTTTTCTTTTACATGTATTGTTTGTCTTGCGTTGATTTATGGTTAAATTGTGAAACTGAAAATTAAATGTAAATATAAAATTAATTAATTAAGTCAATGAATGAATGGTAGCCTTACTGGATATCCTAAGAGATGGTGGACGGACCTGGTACATAAGAAACCTTACCGTGAACGTCGTCTCATACCGAAAGAGATATCGAGAATTGGTATTTTGGCACTCATATTGGACGGGGTATGCGGACGGCTCGTTTCACCCTCATACCGAATGGGGTATTGAGGGATGGTATTTTTGGCGTTCATACCGGATGGGGTATGAGGATGGCTCGTTTCACCCTCATACTGGACAGGATATTGAGAGATGGTATTTTGGCTGCCGGACAGGGTATGGAGACGACCGGTTAGTTGACAATGTTGAATAATGGTTCACGCATAATTGGGACATCCCTATGGACCTCCATGGATACCAGTAGACAGATAAAAAGAGAAAGTTGTTATTCTTACTTGAATATGAGATTATGATGTTGTTGACCTATTGTCTCTATAAATCGGTTTTGGAAATCTCATTACAATAAGTATGCAATAAATGATTTTATTTATAATAAATGAATTTACTTAAATTAAAAGTTTCATTAGTTATTTTTATGATTTTTACTAACCTTCATTTCTGTATCGGTGAGTAGTGTGATATTCTTACTGAGTTAGTATACCTCACCTTTTCATTAACCATTTCAGATTAAGAAGACTAAAATCCAAATTTCAATCAACAAGAGAGTTGTGAATAGTTCACTAATCGGACTCCCTTCAAATATTAGTGAAGGTCGTCCTACGATACCTAATTCTTTACTTTTCATTTATTTCTTAATTCTTCGTTTGTTTTTTTAAAATGGTTATTCCCATAACTTTATTGGGTATTCTAAATTATTGTGTAAAAAATGTAAATCCTAACTCTATTATTTTACTTCCGCATTCAATTTATGATTTTATTTGTTTTTAAGTTCTTGATTGTTACAAACAAAGCTTACTTTCTATCCCACCTTCATTACAAATAGGCCCTAACTCTATTATTTTACTTCCGTATTCAATTTATGATTTTATTTCTTTTTAAGTTTCTGATTGTTACAAACAAAGCTTACTTTCTATCCCACCTTCATTACAAATAGGATGTTTGGCTTTTTTTTTTCCCTTTTTTCGGTTAACACAAGCTTATAAGCTATCTAATTACATTCTAAATATTTTTACACATTTGGTAAACAACAAGTGAGATAGTTTATATGCCTTCTAACAAAATTTTGGAAAGCCATTGACCTCCAACTTGCATTTAAAGAGTTTACAAACTGTCCAAAGAAACCTCATTATTGACCAAATAAAATGCCAAACTATCCCTTAACAATTTATAAGATTTTAGCATATCTTACTACGAACCACGATGCCCTATATCTTTTTTGCTATTGCTGCATTATAAACCAAATTATCTTTTTAATTAATATCTTTATAATTTTATCTTATCAAATAATATATATTTCTAAATCTATTATACAACTATTACGTCAAATTTAATAAATTGAATTTAAAATTAATATCAATGTAAATAAAAAATCAAAAATTAATTTGATATTTAATATTTTACTCTTATTTTAAACTAATTTATCTAAAAAGTATAAATGATTGAATTTATAAAAAAAAAAAAAAAAATTATAATTAAATAGAACTACAATTTATAAACTGTATCTTTATGTACAGTTTATAAATTTGTATTACTCTAACACTTTAACAAATTTTAAAAAAAAAATCAATCTATAGACTGTCAGAGAGCTTACAAACTTAACAACTTATAAATTCTTATAAAATAATGTGAGACAAACATACTCTAAATCTATTACTTAACAAAATTAAAAAAAGGGGTAAAAATCAGGCCAAATAGAAAAAGCAATCAGACACATAACACATCTGCCTTCACCAAATGGTAACCATTGTTGAGCAGTGGATGACACCACCACATCCATCAAGTCAAGAGAAGTATAACTGGCCATATCCAGAGCCCCAAATTGGAAGTATGGGATTGATACGATCCCTATTTACGGATCTTGTTACGGGACAATTAACCCAAAAATCAGTAGGTATAAAAGATTATTTTTGTATTCTTCTTCCTTCGCATATTTTGATAGGCTTGTTAAAAAGAACCCAACAATCTCCTAAAGTTAAAGTACTCAAGAAACTTTTAACAAATTTTTCTGCATAAAAACTGAATCTTTACAAAGCAGTAGCAGATTTTTAAATCTGCAGACAAAGCACTTATCTGAAAGTTAATTCTAGAACTGCCCACTACATCTACTCTCCTATTTTCTCTCCTAGTAATCTCCCACACTAAAAACTGAAAACACAAACCAGAAAACAACAAAAATACAAACAAAATACAATCCCACAGCCTGCTAATTACATAATTAATTTATAACTAAATATAATCCCGCAGCCTATTAATTACACAATTAATTTATAACTACATATACATATATATATATATTTATAACTACATGTATACTATCTTTTTTTTTTAAATAAAAAGTATGAATAGTATTAACAGTGCACCAAGGGGGTGCAACCCATGTACAAAAAGATTTATATGTTAGTAAGGTAATCAATCATATACTCAAAATCTTCCATCCTATACAAATCATGCCTCATCAATAAAGACCCAAACAAATGGAATCACCTATCTCTAGTCTTAATCATGTCAAATGAATTAAATTAATATGTTTCTATTTTCTGCCCATCCTGTCCCACGCCCAAATCTCCTCCCTAATCGACCCAGCCCTAACCCAACTCACATCCAGCAGATCATAGATCATTGACCACAAAAGCTGGACAGCAGGACAAAACAGCAGAAGGTGGCAGCATGATTCCTCCTGTCCTTTGCGCATGTAACATCTATTAATCAGCATCTGACCTCTCAATATACTTAAAATTAATTATTCTATAAAGTTAAGATATTTATTATCCCATAACAGGATGTTTTGCAAGAAATCAAAGTAGAGCTTAAGAGTGGGAAAAACACTTCTCCTATGCTAGAGATGAGAAGCTTGAAACATTAGCTCCCACTAAAACACTTCATTCACGATGATTGCATCTAACAGATTTCTGGAGTTGATTTATTTTGCCTTGTGGTTTTAATGATACTATAAGACCTATAATTTTTGTGATCCTATAAGTCCCGATTTTTCAAGATTTTAGAAAGCATGCCCAAACCTTTTTTTATCCTAATGATTTGTCACTTCAAAAATCAAAGTAAGAGTTTTCTTCAAATGGATAAAATAATACAGAATAAGATCTTAATTTGGTATCATTTCCACTAATTTTTTTTACGTAGCTATTATTATTATTTAGTATCTTCAATTATTTAGCCTATTTAGATAAATTTTAAGTTATTAGACACTTTGCTATTTAACTAGATTTTAAGTTATAGAAGTTTTTTAATCTTCTTAATTATTTTAAAATTTTACTTATTATTGCAACTAATGCCTATATAAAGGTCAGTAACTATCAATCTTTTTCTTTGCCGTGATATCCGATTTCCACTGATCTACCTCTACTTTTCTGTTTCTCATCTAAATTTCCTTCACTTTCTAAACTACCCTTGGTCATGATAGTTTCAACAAACACTACTTGTCAGTAACTATCAACATTTTTCTTCACCGTGATATCCAATTTCCACTTATCTTCCTCTATTTTTCTATTTCTCACCTAAATTTCCTTTACTTCTAAACTAACCTTGGTAATGATAGTTTCCACAAACACTACTTGGCAGACATCACCTCTCCAAAACTTAAATAATTCTTTAAAATTTTAGAGGTAATAGTAGAATGAAGAGACAAACAGTAAATGTTTTCAATCATATGTATAGAAGAATATATTAAAAAAATGATTAATCATTCTCCCAAAGACTAGCTTAAGTACCATAATGCCTATGGAGAATAAACATAAAACAACTCACTTTGATGAGATACACCGTGCTTGCCGTGAAACTATAGAGTTTGCTAGCACAAAGGAGCCAACCCCAAGATCCATCTAATAGGATACAATAAGATTTATGACCATCAATCAAATTGAAAATGTTTTCATAATTTATGGTAAAACAACACAACCACAAACAGGTTTAGCAATCAAATATTGAATGCAAAATATAAATGGAAGCACGAAACTGAGAAGAATCCTCCAAAAGTTATTTAAGAGACTATTCATAGAAGAAAGCCATTTTAGGAAAAGGAAGGGGGAGGAGAGGACAGCCATCCATTCTTTATCAAATTTCTGAAAAGCCTGATGCAAATTGATAAATCTCCCCCCTTTCCTCCACACCAAAATGCAGAAAATGAAGAATCTGAAAACTGACTTAATAGACTTTTTAATCAAAGAGAAGCATATTTATAACAGATAGCTACCCAGTTCTAGGAACTTTTCTTAGAAGCTTGACAGAACTGGCAGCCTCAGTGCATGGCTTGCCACCACTTAAAACTAGTCTAGGCCCATCATCGAGTGCTCTAGCAAGTTAAATGAGGATGAAGATCGTACTGAGAATTCATAGCACAACCAGACGAGACCCTACTTTCTCTTGAAAGAGTCAGACCTTAGTTTTACTAAGAGAAAAATGTGTAACAAATTTGTCAAAAAGTAGAGGCTCCAAAAGTCATGCATTTCTGAACATTAAATTTTCTCCTCACGAAGAGAATCAACTTTTCCCTACTGCTACTATTAGAACTTAATTATTCAATAAAATAATCTGAGAATTTTCGAATACTTGATTGTGTGATTCAACCAAACCTTTGGCATAATAACAGACGAATTTTAGGTGTAATACCCAGGTTTTCCCACATATCTAAGCAGGCAAATTAATCCTATTATCATATTCAAAACAATGCAAAACATGATAATGCAATTCTGGAAGAACTGAGACACTTATGCACACAAGTAGTCCCACCAATTCAAAACCTGTAACCTGCACAAACTGTTGCTGCTGATGTGCTACATATTGAGGATAATGTCCAAGACATTACAAAGGAGATGAAAGTCGAAGCTCCTGATTTTGATGGAAAAAGATATTGATTTCTTCCTTCATTGATATGATACATAAGCATGAAGAGTCAGATACGCCAAAATAAATTGGTTGGACTCACAAAAATATAATGGTATAGTGTTGATGAGAATCTGACAAGAAGATGGCAATAGGTAACTGAAACATAGGATGAGATGAAAGTCACTCTTTGTGAAAAGTATTTACTTCCCAACTATTTTGACAAGATTCATGATCAAGCCCGCACTTTGACATAGGGCAACATGTCAATCACTGAGTACACACAAGAATTTTTAGTGTTGAAGATTCCAAATCAGTTGGTAAAAGATGATAGTCAAGCAGTATCTCGATTCAGAATGAGACAAAGAACTGATATTAACAAGAACTGACTTGGCAGCCTCCTGCAACCATAACCCAAACTTACGAAGTTGCCTTAGATATAGAAGACTACTTTAAGTATCCAACTTCAATGAAATTTGAACCTTCCCTAGGAGAATCAGCCTCTAGAACAACATTACAGAGCAACTTACGGTGTGTGAGTATGTTCTGAGCAACAAGCTTCAAACCAAGTTAATGTTGTGAAATCAGCTTTCAATACACCTAAGACTAGAGATAAGAAAATAGTCTACTTCAGGTGTGGAAGACAGGCCATATGAATTGTCAGTACTCTAAGAAAAATAACTTATATATCAGAATGAAAGAAGAAGAAGAAGAAGACACAATGGAGAGGATGTTGATGCTTCCCTTGATGATGATTATTTCTCTGATGATGACTACCATGAAAACACTTCCCTTGTGTCTGTAGTCAAGTGTATCTTTGCAATGTCTAAAGTTGAAGAAAATAATTGGTGTTGCACTACAATATTTTTAAATCCTTGTTACTTGTGAGCCTAAAGCCAAAAAGCTTGTCATTTACATTGCATGAATGTAATTTCCGCCTGAACCATATAGTGTCTCAAACTTTGCACAATGCAAAATCCACAACCATATAGGTAGCATGGATTGATGACACAACAACCTTGATAACTCAAAAGTGCCTTGAGTCGTTCTGTTGCAGTAAGTATCAAGACATCATCTTGTACAATCTTATTCCCATACATGTGACTCATATTCTTCTTGGTTGACCTTAGATGTGTAATGGAGATGTGAATCAAAGTGAATAACAAAAGAATGCTCTTTTTCCAAGCGAAAGAGAGATATTATCCTATGACCCATACAAGGATATAAAAAAATTAAAAGCTAGGAAAACTACAATGCTTGTAACTATTGGTCAAGCTGAAAAGAGACAACTCCATCTTTTGTCAAAAAAGCAATTTGAAGTAGAAAATAAAGAATAAAAAGTTTGTTTCACCTATCATAAGTAGGGAGATCAAGAATCCAATAGCATACTCAACATAGATATCACCACTATAAGTGCCTAGGCTACTAGTTGACCTTTCTGATATTACTCCTATAGATTTTCCAAATGAACTCCCTTCAACACGTAGCATTCAACTTGTTATTGAGCCAGTTACCAAATCTTAATTACCAAACTTACCAGCCTACCGTATGAATCCAAGTGAACATGCGATGATACAAGTTGATGAGTTACTCTCCAAAGGATTCATACGAAAAAGTTTTAAGTCCATGTGCTTTGTCCCACATTCCCTAAACCTAAGAAAGATCAGACCTAGAGAATGTACTGATATCGCACAATCAACAAGTTATCATCAAGAATAGGTTTCTCATACCTCGTCTTGGTGACATGCTAGGTCTTATGGGAAACTCCACATATCTGTTCAAGATAAATGTAAAGAGTAGATATCAACAAAATCTATGTGAGACGAGGAGATGAGTGAAAGACAAAATTCAAAACAAAAGATGAAATTAAATGAATGTTTAGTCATGCCATTTCGACTAACACCTTGAGTTCATGCATTTCATGAACCAAGTGTCCCAAGCTTTTAACGTGAAGATTTCTTTGTTGCCTATCTTGATGGTATTCTTGTCTTTGGTAAGCCCAAAGAAGAAAACATATTTCACTTACAACAAGTTATGAGAGTATTCTATCTAGAAAAAATCTACATTAACCTGAAAAAATGCACATTCATGACAGCCAAAAGTTGTGTTATTTGGATGTTCACCTCTTTAAATGAAGTAGAAGTTGATCTAGAAGAGGTCAAAGCTATCTTGGAATAGCCAACTCCCAAATTCTACATGAGGTGCAAAGTTTCCACAACCTGGCATCTTTTTAGAGGAGGTTTATTTAAGGCTCTAGCATAGCAATGACACTTATTACTAACTTCATGAAGAATGGCAACTTTTCTTGGACCAAAGTAGCGTCAAGAGCTTTCAAGAACATCAAGAGAAAATTGACAAGAAGCATCGGTTCTGCATCCTTCAGACTTCTCCAAGTCATTCCAAATTGCTTGTGATGCATCTCAAGAAGGTATTAGTCATGTACTTAGTCAAGAAGAACATCTAATTGCTTACCTTCGTGATAAACTTAATTATGCAAAATAGAGGTATACCACATTCAATACGGAATTCTGTATGACATGTCATTCAAACACTTTGTCGTTGTCATTATTAACTAGTTCTAGAAGAGTTTATCCTATACTCCAACCATGAAGCTATTAAATATATCAACTCCAAGAGGAAACTTAACCACTCTCATGCATGTTAAGTGGCTTTTTTTCAAGTCTGCATTTTCGCAATCAAACTTAAGAAGGGAATAGAGAACCAAACAGTGATGCGTTAAGCTGGATAATAGTTATATTCACCTCCATGACAGTCCAAGTAGTTGAATTTGACTTGGTTAAAACAAGTTATTCATTTCGCAAAGATGTTGGCACCAACTATAAGAACTTAGTGGCTGAAAAATGGGATCCTAATTTTTAGTTGCACAAGGGATACCTATTTAGAAGAACACGGTTTTGTCTACCCAATACATCTTCACACTAGAACTAGTCTTGGAATTACATTTAAGTGGTATGGTGGGTCATGTTGGAACAGACAAAACAAATATGTGGTGGAAGATGACTATGTTTGAATTTATATCAGGAATGTGACACTACTATTTCTCATGATAATTTTCCTATGCACTTATCAGTCACTATAAACCTCAAGAATAAGATAGAAGATTATTTTGACTACCAAGAGGAAACTACAAGAACTGGTACTTATGACAAGTTTTGGTGAAGTAGAAAAATTGTCCTTAAAATGATTGCACTTGGATCACAAAAGCAGACATCAAGAGGCTCAATCTTGTCATGCATGCTGCATTTTATTATTTTACCACAACTGAGCCAAGTTTTTCCCACCTAAGGAGAATGATGGCGCGTAGATGCAGCATTAATTATTCAAGAATTATATTATTTAAGTTATTTTTATGTTTTGCAATTTATTTATATTTTGTTTTCCTATATTTATAAGAGGTAGTATTTCTAATCTTCTTAGTATTAGTATTTGTAGTCTGATCCTAGTCAGGAAACGATTACTTGACACTCTACTAATACCTTTCTAATCTCCTTTAAGACCATCATCATTTATTCAATAAAATATTTTGAGAATTTCTCAATACCTGATTGTGTAATTTAATCAAATCTTTAGATGTGATACCTATGAGTCATATGTGTAATATCTAGATTTTTCTCAAACTTCTAAATGGACAAATTAACCTAATTTGTCTGATATTATAACTGTTGCTTGTTCTTCACCGCATAAATACCTTATATCTTTTATATTTTTTTCAGAAAAAAATAGCTTCTTATGTTGCTGTCTCTTATTATTTTGCAGTTACGAAGTTGACACGTTACATATTCAAATCTCTATAATATTTGTTAAGAAATTAGAACGAGATTGACAAATAAGCTTGTCATACAAGACCAAGTTGTTATTTTTAAAAAAAATAATATTCAACTGTAAGTATCCCCAAAACTGGAAGACCTCCTTGTAATTTACCCTAACATATATTTCAACCAGCCAATTTCTTTTCATAATTCATTCAAGTCGGATACTAAACTATAAAGTG